AAATCCTTCTCCTGGTCTTTCATGGGTGTCCCGCCAAGATCCTGATCTGTTTGTGACAGTAATTTTATGCATTCTGTTTTTTGTAACACTCTGGGGGGACGACCATTTTCCACTCCCCACATCATTGGTCTTTATACTTCTTAGTCTTTCAGTTATTTTCTCTCGCCCTCCTCCCCGCTCTCCTTCCTCTCCCCACACCTGTATGCTGTGCATGTGCACACCATGACCAGTGGTTTCATTTGTTGTTAATCAACCTTCTCTTGTTTTCTTTTCTAATTGTCGACATACATTGGTCATGTTAGTCGCTCCATTTGTCTTCACGTACACGATTTCCTCTTTGTGAGCCTGGACTGGTGGACAAATGCTACTCCGTAGATATGCACACCCAGCTGACTCCTTTGCAGGTTTCAGTGTGCAACTTCTAGAAAGTTTGAAATCAAGTACAAAAGCACTGGTTGCTAGTGAACCAATCACTGTACAGCGTTCCTCTCCTCAAGAGCTTCCCCATCATAATAGCGTTTTTCGAATCCCTCAAGACATGGGCCTACAGCGTTTTCGTTCACTGCTGACAGAAATGAGATCTGGGGGCACTTCCAGCCACGAGTCTTTGGCACAGGAACTCTGAGAAATAGCTGCTTTGTAAAGTACATTCATTGGTCACCTCCTTGGAGAGAGAGAGAGAGTTATGATCATATGGTAAGTACATAGTTGCTACTACCGTGGATGCAAGGCAACAAAAATTAGAGGAAAGTAAGCGCTCATATGAAAACATGTTCAGCATGTTTCAAGTGTCTGTGACGCTATCTGACTGGGAAGTCTTGACTGCCGAGCCAGTCGATCAACACAACTAAGACATGTTACTAGGTCGCCGTTAGATGCGTCCGGCTTTCAGCCCACATCACTCAAGCGCGAATAGGTTCACCTATTCAGAGGTAAAAGTTCAGATGCGTCCAGCATGCGCTGGTCGAGTAATGGTAAGGCTTGAGTCTCTTGACAGAGAGCGAAACTCGAGTCCAGTGCTTCCCCCTCTTTGGAATGGACCCACCAGAATGATTGCGTAAGGATATTGTTCAAACGAGAGTCCTGTGAGTGTGCATTCTACGAAATCCCGCAACTACCGACACCTGAAAACATGTTTATCTTAACATAGGTCAACGTTCACCAAGGAACACTCTTTAGTATGTCGGAACCCATTTACTTCCTCCGGTAGTTGTTTTTGTCGAAAGGCGAAGTTACCATCTTGGTACAAGAGACTAAGGTGGGATTTGGTAATTTGCAACATCTGCGATGCCGTTTTGGAACGGTGACTTCCAGAGAAAGTGCTCATAACTGATGACCAGACAGCCTATCATCTTCGAGTAGTCAGGTAAGAGCAAGCAGATAAACGAAACTCTTCTGAGCGTTTGCACATCCAGATTCAATGACCAGTCTCCAACCAGATGGAGCGAGCACCGAAAACAAAGCACACTGTGTCTTTCGTTGGTGACCAGCCGTTGAACCAATGATGTACACAAGGTCTCCTACTGGCATGTAAAGTAACCATTTGCACGAGAGGAAAATCAGAACGACACTGAGTTTACACGGGAGGAAGATCAAAACGAAGAGAGTGAATCGAAATATGCATGATGAGTACAGGAGGGCTTGTTCTGATGAAACCTTACAGTTGCTTCAGGTTTCAGTTTCAAGTTCCAGACGAGTTTATGGTCAATGTACCATAGGGTTCATCCAAACTGGATGGTGTCGGACGCGCGCCTCATCGTCAGTCGTTTGATGTTCAAATTTGAAGCATCAGAAAGTCGCCTACCGCAATAGTTGTAGCTGAATTCATGAATCAGTTTAATGTGTATGGTTGAAGACAGGCGGTCTTACTACCAATCTGGCTGCACCGATCGATTCGTGCTATCTGATCGGTGAAGAAATCGCATGGCGGGTCGCTTTCGTGATGATACCTTCCCCCCATGCTGGTCCTTGGCTTGCTGCTCCACCAACTGTGTTATTTCAAAGGACAATATTTTAAGATGAACAATTTATCGGAAAGAGAAAACACTACAGTCGACTTAATCACAGTACTATCCAAAAGTCTTCGTTGTGGAACGAAAAGGGCTGGGCCAAGAAGGCTGGATGCTGATTGGCCCGTATTCTGACCAGCCAGAACATGCCTTTCGGTTCTTATTTGGTCCGCATTACATCCGTCCAATGGGCATGGCCTTCGGCTAGTCCCAGTGGCTCGCCTCTGAACAGTAGGGGATAACTACAAGTAACGTAGCGCAGTCGATCCTACAGTGTTCCATAATTTTTTTCAAAACACTACTGATTGGTATGTGTTGAGAAATTCCCGTTCTCTGCGACTCTCCAAAGGCTGCTTTCAAGTGACGCTTCGTAGATAACCGGTCGAGCAAATTATTGGTCGTCGGTACCCAGTGCGCTTTTAGTGCTTCGCGTCATTTTTTGCCTGTTTTGGAGTTCGACGTGGCCGGGCTATGATTCAACGCCATTTTTGCTCATGAAAATTCAGTTTGTAAAACGAAAATGGAGCGATTGGGTTAGTTAGATGCGTCAGTGGAAAAATACTAATATTCTGACTTTCTGATACAATTCTGGCTCAAAACAGAGACTTTTTTATGCTTATCTGAACCGACATCATGTCTATACAAACATACTCTTATCTAAATGACAGATGCTCTGTTAGCCAAGCCTGGTAATCAGCTCAGACCAATCGCCACGTGACCAATATCCAATTAATGCACTCGAACTACTGCTAATAATAATTGTTCAGCTGTGGCACCCTTTCAGTGCCTAATTTCCATGCCATTTGAAGTAAGCACGAGGGCTAGGATGTTGCCAAGTCGCTCAGAGGAAATGGGGATGCAGAGGTCGGATTTGAACCGCGGACTTTACGATCAGTAAATTCCCGCTCTCACCACTGAGCCATCTCATTTTCTGCCCTGAGAGGAAACTATTTGTTAGGAAATGTCAACTGACCGATTACAGACCATTGGACATGGAAGCAAAACTCCCATTTGCATCTTATTCACAAAAACTGGACATCCATCTTCTCCTGAACGCGTCTTCTTGAACTTTCCTGGAGATACATTGACTCCAGTCATTCATCGCTCAAATCCAAGCAAATGTTACAAAGTGACTCCACAAATTCCGCAACAGATCTCCGCTTTTCAAAAAACGGAAAGCTAAATTCCACGAACAACACATACTACTCACGCGCCCCCTCCCCATCAGTAGTATCACCGTTACACTAATAGTCCGACAATGCCATGCACTTATACAGAACTTTGTGCTTAGCCGATTAATATCCCATTTTCGGGTCCTTTGTTCACGGCTGAGTACACTTGGTTTCAAATGCTTCCGACTTTGAGCCCCGAGCGAAATTCACAAAGACGCGTGATTTTAATTGTTATATAACGAGTACTATGGATAGGACCATCCCTAGCATGTATGAAACAGTATGTGGCTGACAACCGAATCGGATTTGCCGCTCAACAGTGGACATCTTTGTATGGCTGATGACCGGAATGTTTTAAGCGAAGCTGAATGTGGTGCTGCGTGCAAGGTTTGGGCGCCATTGTAAACCCGAAGGAATAAGGGTGAATATGTAGAGGCACAATCCAACTCAGATATGATAGTCTAGTCGAGTCCGCTGATAATTACGTCAGAACAGGAAGGCAACCGTTCAAACGAGAGTGGTGTGACTGAACAAATACCTACTCCCGTGAACCCCCAAAACCGCAACTACTTGAATAGCCGAAATTTCAAAGGAGGAATTGCCGCACTTATTCCGAGCCAGAAGCTTGAGGGACAGGTGGCTTTGTTGGCCTTACCTCTAGTCCATTAAACACAGTGGTAGGAGATTGTGTATATTGCACAGTCATCCTGCGCCCACCGTGCGCTGGTGGAGTAGTGGTTACACGCTCGTCTCGCATGTCAGATGTGCGGGGTTCAAATCCGGCACGGCCACTGGATATGCACTGCTGATGAGCTCTAATAAGAGCGAAACTCGAGTCCAGTGCTTTCTATGGTGTGCACTCACCGGAACAGGAGGACGAGAGTTCAAACGAGAATGGTGTGACTGTGAACAAGGTTCCCTCAATTCTCAGCGTGATATCGCTCATCCCCCAATCACACACACTGTCAGGGTGGTCATAGATAACTTGGCGGTATGTCATTAACACTGAATAATGAGGTTACTTTTATCGGGCAGCTAATCGTCAGACAGCTGAACGAACCTAGCCCGATTTTCGGCGGTTGCGTTTCATAGATAGACCGTTCCGTAGACCGATGAACTACAAACTCGATCCTACCAAGAAAAGGGCGTCCGCACACTTTGCACAGGTTCACATAGCCAAGGCCGCATTGAAGGAATTGGGTCAACGGTATTGTGACGCGTCAGCTCCCAAAGTTTCTCACGTTCACTTAGACAGGCGTTCTTCGGGCCGATTTGCGAGTGGTAGGTCTTGTTGTGCTCCAAAATAGAAGCGTAACTTCCATGACCCCACTTTGCAATTGTTGTTAGTTTTCACAGCAGTCTGGCCACCCCACGACTTGGCCTGTTATTTTTATTCGAACCCTGATGTTGCGACCAACACATACAACATATACATGAGTTACATTCACAGATCTGCCACTGAAAAGCAGCACCTTTCGTGGGGTTTTCGTCTAATTGGACCCCACCCAAACACGGGATCGCTTGTCAACTATAGGTAAGAATGATAATTGACTGACCTCAAAATTCCGCAGCGCAATACCTACAAAGTGCATTTATTAATGCACCGTTGAGGATGGCCATGATACAATTCAGAAGGTATATGCACTAATAAAAGTTTTTAGTACAGTCGACAATGGTGAGATGCCACACGTATAAAAATAAGTACAATGCAAAATGGGAGCAAGTCAAAAAAGGAACTTATCGTCTGTGAGAGTTCCTTGGTGAAAGTCCGGACGGCGGGAACGGGTTTTCTCCGCAGTATGGCTGCTACACGTGTTCCATAGTTGTCCATGGACTGTGGAGAGTGGTTGACTTCCTATTCTCCGCGCGCGCGCGAGTCTGTGTGCTGTGTTCGGTTTCCCTATATGTTGGTCCGTTTGCGTGTACGTGGGATGTGACAGTTGTTGCTACGCTCACTAGACGGTGCAGACAATCGATGTCCGATGCGTCACCTTAATGTGAGGTGGTTTGTGAGTATGAAAAAATACAAGTCTCGTGATCCAGTGAGCGACTGTGAGCTGAACAGTCAAGTATGTGGGTGACTGGGTAGCTACACATTGCCTTTTCGACGCTGACTCGTATTCGAATTATAAATTCTAAAATCAAAGTCAATGGATTACAGCAAAGTGAGAACAGAATCTAGAACAATTGGGTGAGCGAAGACGATGGGTCTAGTATTCTAGAGTCTGTAAACTTTTTGGTTCACACGAGTGATTTCCCAAAGTTCACTCGGTGAAGACATCGACTACGAAACACCAAAGTACGTCTACGTCTGTCCTCCAAGTGATACAGCCAGAACAGTAAGAAACTACTGGGGATGATGACTGTTTGTAGCCTCACACCTAAGTTGTCTTCTCAAATTTGTGGAAATATGTGTGTGTGGAGGGGGTGTTCAGTGGACGACA